ATTTATATTCGTCAAGGTTGGATAGGTGTTTCTTACCATTTTCTTGCTTATTTTAATTTTTGTTTCTAGTATGTCTTTTGCAGTGGGTTTTTGGGTATGTTGGGCTATAGTTTCTTTTTTTGTGAAGACTGATGCAAAGTATGAGTTAAGCAGCTCTGCTTTCTCCCTGTTGCCTGTTATTTCCTTGCCATCTTCTTTCTTTAGTGGGCCTATAGTTTCCTTGACTTTTTTTGTTGTTAATATGTTGGAAGAAACTTTTTTTATTATCCTTGATTATCCTTGCAAGTCTTTGTTCGTTCTGAGCCTTTGCTTTCCTGATTTCATCTTTTCATGTTCTGGCAATCTGCTGATAATCGGCCTTAGTTATGTGCCCCTGTTTCTATTTTTTATATTTGTCCTTTTTTGTCTTTCAGTTTGTCAGAGAGATCTTTGTATAGCCATGCTGGTTTCTTCTTGAAATTCTTGTTTTTCTTTCTCAATGGTATTGTGCTGGTCTGGGTTTTCTGTAGATATGTAGTGTTCTCTTACATATAATGCAACTCCCCCTCCTCTTTTTGTAGACCTGTTTCTTTTGAGTAATTTGTATCCATCCATCAGTCCGTTCCATTCATGGGTTTCGTCCCACCAGGTTTCTGTATGCCAGCTATGCCATACCCTCCCTCATGTACTATTGCTTCTAGTTCACCCTGTTTGTTCCCCAAGCTTTGAGCATTTGTATATAAGCATATAAGACTTTTATGCCTGTCCATGAGTATGTTTCCTGCATCTCCTGATTGCTGTTTGAATTTTTCTTTTTTCTCATCACTGCCTACCTCATTGTTTGACTTGTTTTCTTGGGATTTGTGATTGGTTTGGGTTCTAGAGATTGGTCACCCTTCCCCCTCAGTTTTAGTTTAAAGCCCTCCTGATGAGTTGGGCCAGTCTTTTTCCAAATTTTTGCCTGTTTTCGTGAAGTGCAGCCCATCTCTTGCCAAGAGTCCTTCGCATAGGAAATGCAGTCCATGATCCAGAAAACCAAAGTTTTCTTGGCGAAATATAGTAAACAGTTGTTTACTTAGCATATCTCATTTCCGTTGTGATGAGTTTTAGGACTATTATATCTGGTATGATATGCAAAATATGATGGATAGGTCTAATAAAGTGTTAGCTAATTTTTTTCCTATTATGGTGTCTTCAAAATATGCCAGTTTGGAGTAGATCACATTGTGTCAAAATGACTGCACTGGCCATGGAATTCATTGAAAGGTATGATAATAATGTCCTATATAGTTTATGTAACATGCTCCAGCAAAAATGCATTCTTATGTTGTGATATGCTGCATTTATGACTAAGTACATAACAGCAGCATCTATTGTTATAAACACGCTAATTATTGAGCAACACATTTTTAAATGACAGATGTAACAATATAGAAAATAGAATTCAAGAAAATATTCAATTCTGTTTCCTGAAGTAGGGAAAAAGAATTATAATCTTGTGTTAATCAGTTCACCAAAGAATGCATACCTTATCTAGCAGTTCTTTGTAAATGATTGCTGTTAAAAGTTAATTATCACTGTTTTTACCTTGTACATTTCATTTTTTTTGTCTGCAGTGATTACTATTCCTTCTCCTTTCATACTGTGCACATCTTCTAAAAATTTCAAAGAAAATAATGAACTTTATATGACAATAAATTCATTAGTTTTTAATGTGCTGTGTTACTTTGTTTCTGCTTTGTATCGAATGCCCTTGAAGAAATATGCTTCTTCACTGGTATTGTTGTGATAATTAAGTCACTGTGTGACAAATTTTCTCCCTCTCTTTAAAAAGAGGCTGCCTCTGGTGGTACTTAATAACTGTTCAAAATTTTGAAATATAATGATTTGATGTTGGAAATAGAATGTTTTTCTACATAACAAGCTTAGAATCTAGGGAATCTTTTCTATGTCCTCATGATGAACTACATTGTTGAAAAGTTGAAGTCCAAGGTACAGCAGTACCTACCCCAATTGTACAAACTCTTCCCTAAATTGTAAAGAGAATATAATTTCTTGGGTCACCAAAACCGTAAAACTCTCTAAAGCAGGGGTCCCCAAGCCCTGGTCCTTGGACTGGTACCAGTCTGCGGCATGCCAGAAACCGGTCCGCGCAAACAAGCAAAGCCCCATCCGTGGGATGCAGATAGCATGCGAAACCACGCCCCCTCCGGTCCGCAGAAAAACCTCTCTCCATGGAACCGGTCCCTGGTGTCCAGAATGTTGGGGGGCGCTGCTCTAAAGGGGAGGAGGATACTAAATTGTTTTCTTTGTTTGTTTTTAGTTTTTTATCTCAACCTATGTATGTATGTATGTATGTGTATGTTGGGCTTAAAGAGAATGACTGGTCCAAAGTCACCCAGCCAGTTTTTCATCCCTAAGGCAGGACTAGAACTCTCAGTCTCCTGGTTTCTAGGCCAACATCTTAACCACTACACCAAATTGACATCTTTGCTATAATTGTTTGCTATAATGTTCTGAAGGGTGACCCCAGCATGCAAGGAGCCAGAAAGAGAATGGGTGAATGGCAGAGTGATATGCATCAGCAGTATAGATTCTGATGTTTACTGGAAATTGGAACAGTGTATGAAGCAATTAATATGGACTATTAAAAATATAAATATCTGACTGTATATAGTGAAGAGCATTGGAAAGCCAATTTGGTTTGGTGGTGAAGGCATCAGGCTAGAAAGCAAGAAACTGTGAAAGCCAACTAGATGACTTTAGGCCAGTCACACTCTGTCAGACCAACTCACCTCATGGGATTGTTGCTGTGTGGAAAATAGGAGGAGGAAGGAATATTACGTATATATGCCACGTTATTTTTAACAATAATAAAGAAGGCATGATAAATCATTAAAAATGATTTGATGGCTATACATATTTTTCTCCAGATAATACACCTTGAACAATCTTACATACCTACTTTGCTCCATTCTGAGAAATACCATTCTTATTCAGGGAACACCATTATCCTAGGCCTCTTCAAAAACTTTTAAAAAATAATGAAGAGGAGGAAAATAACAGATGCTTTTTTTTTCTTTTTTCCCTTTCCCTCTTATACAAACTTTTCCATCCCCTGTTGAGAAATTGAAGTTCTCAAAATATGTTTTACTGAACAGTAAAGTAGTTCATTTGATTTTTCTGTCACTCATCATTACTGTGTCTGAAGCCAATTTTGTGTTTCCAGGTTGGGAGTTTTGCTTCCCTTTGCATCTTTGTTCACATTTATTCATATGAATTCACTTGAGATATAACAAAGAACTACTTCCATTTAGAGAAAGACTTGTCAGGATTTCTTTAAAAATATATATATTATAAAAAGATAGTTTCTATAATGTACAAAGATAACATATGAAATAATTAAAAGATCAGGGATGATTTTTCAGAATGCTATTCGTAAAAAAAAAAAACACCTTATTCTCATGCTGACTTTCCTCTCTTGGGAGGTTACTCCTTAAGAGGAGATGGATCTTCACAGAATTAAACTCAGAAGATGTTTGCCAATTTATAGCATGCATAGTGGAGAACTGTTTTAAACAATATAGAATAAAGTGGAATAACTAATGCTGAACTGTCTGAGCTTTTTCTCCTAGCTTTTAAAGAAAGATCTTAAAATGCAGACCATTGAGATGCAATGCCAGCTTTAAAAAGTCATTACAGGATCAGAGACTGTCCTGTAGCTTCATGTATTGCCTTTAGCTATTTTGGAGAGTATGCTTCATATAAGCAGCTGGCTTTGTCTTTTATTTAGTCTTTAACTTAATATTAGGCAGGAGTGTGGTTTATGAGTTCTTGGCCACAAGCTGTTTATTCCTGTCTGAAATAAAGTCTGATTGAACACTTGTACAAGCTCAAATTAAGATAATAATAATAATGATAAAGTTGGAAGGGACCTCGGAGATCATCTAGTCCAACCTCCTGCTCAGGCAGGAAACCCTATACCATTTCGGACAAATGGCTGTCCAGTTTCTTCTTAAAAACTTCCAGTGTTGGCGCATTCACCGCTTCTGGGGGCAGGTTGTTCCACTGGTTAATTGATCTAACTGTCAGGAAGTTTCTCCTTAGTTCTAGGTTGCTTCTCTCCTTGATTAGTTTCCACCCGTTGCTTCATAATGATTAGTAAAATATAATTGTTTTCTGCCTTTTTGCATCTGCAGAATGCCACCTGGCAATCCTTTTTAAGGCAACATGAGTCCTTATGAGAGTTGAGAAACAAGTGAAACATCTTAAGGATAGGGTCGCACCATGCGGAACTGGTGTAAAATTTGAGGGTCCAATTTATTTGGTGTGCCAATTGCTGACTTTGGGAGATCTCTCTCAAAGGGACTCATACCCTAAACATTTCCTCTTTGACCAATACAGTACTCTTATTAAGTTCAGAATGCAGGCTATTACTGTCCATGTAACTCTTCTCCTTTTTGAGGTGCATGGTTACCAGTGAGATTCCAGAAGCAACTCAAGGTATGGATTCCTACATGGCTTAGGAATGGGCACCTTTAAGATAGTTTTCCTTTTGTTGCTTCTGCCAAATCAGTAACATCTGGAAAAATAGGTGTACTTCAGTCCCTAGCTATAAAGCATAGCCATCTTGTGGGTTCAAGAGATGTGCTTTCTCTGTAAAACAGCATCTCCCCTGAGATTCATATAGTCTCCGTTCTATTAGCTTTGTTAAAACTGTGGGAACCTACAGTAGCTCTTCCAGCAGGTCCTGTATCTTGGTTATAATTCTTTTTGAACTGGTTGTCTGTTCCAATGCATGGTTATGTATTTATCTGTTTTGTTATCTTTACTACTTTTATAGGCAAGGTCAGTGGTGGGATTCAAACAGTGGTGGGATTTAGCCAGTTCGTACCAGTTTGGCAGAACTGATACCTAATTTTTTGTTGAGTTCGGTGAACCGGTTATGATAAATCTGCACAAGCCTCCCCTGCCGCCTCCCTCCGCCAGCCCTCCATCGCCACCACCGCACTTTCTTGCACACACCTTCTTGCCACCCTGCATCGGTCGGTGTCTCCCTTCTCCGTTCTGGAAATGGCAGCCCCGTTTTCTGCTGCTTTCCTCCCAGCAGAAGGGAGGAAAGGAAGGACGCTTGTATGGAAGGATGCAAAGCTCTGGGAAACTACTCCAGCTGTAGCTGGGTGAGGAAGGCCAGGCTCCCCTTTCCCGATGATTCTGCAAAGCCCTTGAGAAGCAGATCTGTTTCCCACAGGGTTGACCTTGACACCTGCTTCAGGCGGCAAACAGAAAAGCTTTGCTCTTTTTCTCCAGGAGGCCCTTTGAAATTGTCCCCCCCCCCTTCACTTTTCTGCCTTAAAATCCAGAGCATACACATTTTCCTCCTCATCAGCTGAGGATATGGTAGCTACCGGTATGATTTTTATAAGAAGCTGAGTGTCTGCTTTGGATTTTAAGGCAGAAAAACGAAGGGGGAGGGGAAACAATTTCAAAGGGCCTCCTGGAGAAAAAGAGAAAAGCAAAACGGCAGGGGAGGCTTGTGCAGATTTATCATAACCGGTTCACCGAATTCAACAAAAAATTAGGTATTGGTTCTGCCAAACCGGTGCAAACCGACTGAATCCCACCACTGGGCTAGGTCTATCCTTCCTTTGAGTGGGATATATGTAGATGACTCTGTGTTCGCCGGTTTGTCTTTCACTTTGCCTGTTCTTTGCCTTTGAAATTGCTAATCTGATTTTTCTGACTTCATTCTTAAACTCAGATTGGCAAAGGGTTTTTGATGATTGGTTTTCCTCCTGAGAGCATATTTGAAAAGGTTCTTCTTAAATGGTAAGACAATGTGAATTTCTGAATTTGTAACAGCATTCTCTCCCATTGATCCACTTGTATATGAAAGAAAATTCTTTGCCATTTCACCATATATTCTTTAACTTGTTCTTCCTCTGTTTCAAATCTTTATTTATACATTTTAGCAATTACATGTTCATCATTTGTACATAATTCACTGTTTTATCACATTCTGTTTTTGGTATCTTTAAAATCTATCTTTCTCTTAATTGTGCATAGGAAATCCATTGAAAGCTAAATCCTTCTGTAGTCAGTTATGGAGTTTTTTGTAAACATTTTATTTTCTAATTTTACAATCATAAATACTTAATAAACAACGTGTTGTCCATTGGTAATTCACTGGTACATATTAACTTTCTCAGTCTAGTTCAAATACTATACCATCCAGTGCTTCTTTGATCCTCTCTTCTTCTAGTGGTATGCATTTTTCCACACTGGGCAATTACAATTCTTGTTGCTGTTAATACATATACAATTAAATATAGACATCTTCATTGCATTTTTCTGGTATTATACATAATAATGTCAGTTTATAATATTTTTTCTAGACAAAACATATCTCAATTGCATTTGCACTTAAAATCCATTTGTTCCATCAGTATCCTGTTTTTCCTGCTTTTTAAAAAAAAAATAATTTCCCATCAATGTTCAAAATATCTCTATCACTTATAATTTTCTCATAATATATTATATTTGGGTAACCAAAATCTTCCCTTATTCAAATCCTTTTAGAATGTTCATATTTGTCATCTCATAACAAAATATACTATTCTAGTTAGAAATTCTATCCTTCTGGTTATAATAATACTTTTATTTCCAAAAGTTATCTATTTTCTTAACCACATTCAAACATCTGTTTAATAATATAATATCCCGTCTCTATCGCTTATAGTTTTCTCATAGTAAATAATATTTGGGTAACCAAAAGTTTCCCTTATTCAGACCCTCTTGGCATTTTCATATTTCCCTTCTCATCCCAAAATATAGTATTCTAGTTGCATATCCTATCTTTCTAGTTATAGTAATACTTTTGTTTCTAACAATTATCCATTCTCTTACCAATTTAATAATATAATGTCCCATCTAATGGTCAAAACCTCTATTTTCTTCAGTCTTACTTGGCTTTCTTCCTTTGCCAACTAACTTTCCAAGTCAATGCATTTGAGTCCTCAAGTAGTTCTTCCCCTATTTTTGTGTATATTGTTTGAAGTAAGAAAGACAATTTGATTAAGGTATATTTGGAAGAACACTCAGCCCATTTATATTCATTAAACAGTCTCCCCCCTTCTCCAATTTTCCATAATTCTTCTGACAGCTTTATCTTCCCTTCAATCAGCTCTTCTTCCTTATCCTCAAATGTGTTCTGAAATCTTGACAAGTAAGATATCTTTTCCATTTCGGTGTTATTGCTTTATCTTCTAATTCTTCATTTGTCTGAGTCTGTTAATTCCTTCCTTTAGGTCCTCCATCTTTGGATCTGCTTCCTCTAATTTTCCTTCTATTTTCTGGATTACTGGTTCCTTCTTTGTAGTTATTTTCTAAATTTGTATGTTTAGATTAGAAAGTTGTTCTTTTATCTCCTTTGCATTATTTTTAGTCTCATCATGAGCTAAGACAATTGTCTCTTGTATTGATTTCCACATAGAAAGAATTTCTTTCTGAGATTCATCAACATTTTCTTGTTGGTATGTGAAGCTGGGGGTTTTGGAGATAAATGTTAGAGTTGGTTTTTTACCATTTAAGACTAAGTGTGGAACATCCATTTTGTTTTTATATGCAGTCTTTATAGTCCAATCTATTTTAAGATTTAAAAAGTTTCAGTCAATTATCATTTGAACTCCAAATTATCCAGCCAGCCTGACAGTCCATCCTTAGGCCTCCCCTAAACAAATATAAGCAAAGTCAGGTTTTTCTGTCTAATGAAAAACATATCCTTTCTGTCCAGTGCGAAAAGTAACAATTAAAAGTTTTTCATCAATCAAAAGTTTTTCATCAATCAATTTAATCCAAAGATTATCAATCAGTAATGCCTGTTTCTTCTACAGGGGAATAGTTCCACGACACAGCTCTAAAAGTCAATATTTATATTCATAATCCAAGCAGGCCAATTTCAAAATAGTTTATTGTCTCTGCCACACAGATAAGCAGCCCAAAAGTTTTTTTTCCTTCTCCAGCTTCAGTCTTCAAAAGTGAAAGTTTCCAAGGACACCCAAAGGACACCCAGCCTGGGCTTCAGGCCAAATTTCATTTAAGCATAATAAATTGTAGTGCCGTGGTTTGCCACTAGATGTTGTTAACGCCTTCTTCCAACTTCAAACTTATATTGCAAGCTTTTCAATCTCTTTTCTAAAAAAACTTTCAAAAGCACTTTAGGCGCCAAATTTCAAGGCTATATATCTATATTGGTTCCAAATTAACCTTATAATTTTCTCCATTTTCCCCCAAGCATTTAGTTCACCGCTTTTTTTTCCTGAGGGAATGGGGTGGAAATTCCCTTTCCCTCTCTCATTGGGGAGAATTCTTTGCTTTGGGTGATTTCTTCCAAGAAAAAGTCTTAAAGTTATAAAGAGAGGATAGAGTCTCACCCAGTTTCATCCACGTTGCTCAAAAGTTGCTCATTAGTGCTTATTTCCTTCGGTTGTCAGCAGCTTCTGACTGGCCACAGAAGTGTAGCCAGTCTTTCCCCCACCGGTTTGGAGGGGTTCTTCAGATCAAATGGAAGGGCTGCCACTCCTCCACGATCAACAAGGGTTCCCTCCTTTGTTGCCTCTCCGAGGCGACTTTTGACCCTTTTTAGTCCCCAGCAGGGTGAAATCAAATGCAGAAGATGGAGCCCCTTCTTCCTGCGACTGTTACACCATGACGTCAAACTGGAAGTCTCCTGTAGTCAGTTACGTTTTTGATTTCATTTTAAGCCCCCCAGTTTCCTGCACTAGCAAGTTGTTTTATGTTAACCCTTTGTGTTTGCCTGCTGTTTCTTTTCTATCAAACATTATTAAGCTGAGGCCAACAAAAGAATTTTTGGGCTTAGCATGGATTTGCATATATAGCATATTCACAGCATGGCATTCCTAATATAATGATTTATTTAAAAATCTTCATTTATTTTAACTTTGTCATAGCATAGTAAAACCCAAAATTCAAATCATGATCTTGTTTGATCAAGGAGGGAATTACAATTACTGTTACAAAAGGCTCCTCATACAATTTTGCTGAAAATGAATAGAAATGAACTGCGGATTTCAGGATTTAATTAATTTAAAAGATTTGTTTATAGAAAGAAGGAAACTATAATATGCTATATGGGAGAGTGGAAATGGAAATAATTGCTGTGTTTGTAAGATAAGAAGTCACTTTTTAATTTTTTTCTTGCTTTTCTTATTTTTTTTACTTTTTATAATATTTTATAATATTTTTCCTTTTCTTTTATATTACTGTAGTTTTTTAAATCTTTGTAAAATCTTCTTGTAATAAAAATTATTTTAAAAAGTTGAAGCATAACTTTGTTGCCCATGATCTGCCGCATTTACAGTTATTCAGATAGATCACAGTGACAGTAAGTATAGCAAATCATACTGCTTAAGTCATAAATTGACATAACTTAGGTTGCTAGTATTAAATTTAAGGAAACGCTAAAGTGAACCTGCAGAACTGGTTTGTGATAATCAGTGCCAATAATAATATTTTGCTCTACCAATATACTTTGCACTACCATTATTTACCAACTGCTAGTTATAGGCAGATTCTGTTATATATTCCAATATATGTATGTGCAAATATCTCCAGATCATTTGTTCTATGTACGTCTGTAGGTCTCTCTAAGGTGTCTTCCACATGAATAGTAACTGCATCATTTCTGTTTTCATATTTGAACAATATGAAATGTTTGAAAGACTATTTGAAATGTTTCATCAGGTAGTAATACCAACATAATAATAAATGCATAAGCATGCAGAATGGAAAACATTTATGCTTAGTATGCAGATTCTTTTTAGACATAATTAATATAGTAAACTGCGTATTTGATTTTTTAAAAAAATTCTAGGCTTCTCTCTCACTGTACATCATTTACTCTCTTGCATATGTCAGCTAAGAAATTGTGTTGGTATTCAGCAAATGTTCAGGTTTAATGGCATCGGCCTTATGATAACTGACTCAGTTTGAAAGATATCTCATTCTCCTTTTCCTATTGTAGGGAAGTGAAGTCTTGCATGCTTTCCATGATTGTGCCCCATGACATAGTTGTAACTCTGTGATCATTAGATGGTTGCAAATAGGTATAATAACATTTGAATAAAATTTGAACATGCATAAAATACATGTAAAGCCTAGGGCTGTATAAACATTTGATTAAAACACAATATAATAAAATTTCCTCTTTTCAAACTGATTTGGTAATTTGGTAAATTTTTGCATGTAATCTTTATGAATAAACAACTCATCACAACATTGATTTGAATTAAATCAATTTTAAAAAATGGGTCCCGGCTGACATGCATATAGCTGAAAGAGTGTAATCATGAACTCAGATAAAATCTGAGACTGGACCACCATAATGCATATAGGGAAATCCCAAAAGGGCCAGATATTCAAAGGCTAAAAAAAAAATTAAATCTACACACAGAGAGAGTAAATAAATGTTATGCATAGAATTAAAATGGCAAAAAGTGAGATGGTATCTGTGCAAAAGGCAAGCTAAACACATGCTTGGGAATCAACTGAGATATCTTGTTACAGGCTCTGTAGCAAGATATCCTGCTACAGGCTTTGGAAATATCCATGCAAGTTATGTTTTGGAATCTGTATCCCAAGTCAGTTTTGCAAATAATAGGAAGGTAGGAGATAGGAAGATTAGGATGAATAGGATGTAACTATCTGACTGAACATAAATATTTTACATCTTTGTTGATGTAGGTTTTGATGAACTCCATGCTTGTTCTGATCCTGGATTCCCTGAATATGGATATAAAATGCCCAGCACAGGTGTTTTCTTTGAAAGTTCAGTTGTCCGGTTTCATTGCCAAGAAGGATACAGGCTTAAGGGTCCATCCCAAAAGCTTTGTGAGAGACATTTTAATGGCTCCCTAAGCTGGAAGCCAAGTGATAAACCTGTGTGCCTACAAGAAGGTAAGTCTAACTTACTGTTAGCAAATTTCATTGGTGAAAAAACCCTCCATAGTAGTACGTCTGTGCTTCTGGATTATGAGATTGTGCTATAATTTCTGTGAAAATTTTAAAACAATTTTTATTTTAATACCGATATTCACAAAGAAAGAGGTGGCATCACTGAGCCCAATAAAAATATGCCTTTCTTTTGACACTAGAAATCAAAATTCATTAAATACTCTATCCACAAATAGAAGCTGATATCCCAAACAAGCTATTTTAAAAATATTTGTGTGTCTGACAAATTTTATAGCTATATAATAGGAAAACTTTATAGCTATATAATAGGAAAATTGTAGATTAAAGATGCAGGTGGTACAGCCAAATAAAATAGATACAAATTTAGTATTTAATTATTCTTCAGATGTTATTTATATAACTTTAACGTTTTATTTTAAGAGCAGGATGATTAATTTATAAAGTAGATGATAATCAGAATATAAAATCAATTATGTGTTGCTGGAATGTTGTAAATTTAATGAAGTGAAAAGGAATGGCAGATATTTTTTAAAAAAAACCATTTCTATATTAGGAATACAGGTCTGGGTATTGTTTTCTGTCTAATCATTTCTTACATGCATTTTTATTATGGAATCTTTGAGCGGATGTCTATCTAGAGATCAAATTTTCAACATCTATTAAACATTGTGTTCTATATTAACTTGCTGGGTCAATGTTGGTGATGTTGTCGTGATTATGACTGTACAAAAGAAAGATAGTGTTTATTTGCACATAGAAAACTCTGTTGAAAATGTTCAGGATAAGTTCTGCTGATGAATTGTTTTTCAGTGTAGTTTAAGGAAGTTCAAGCCTTGATCTGTGAATAGAGTTGGGACCATTAATACCAGTTCAACATGTCTCTGAGGTATGAGGGGACCTAGAAAGGCATTAATTTGCTATTGGCATAAATCATATTCTGGGGGAATGTGCGTCTTCATCCCACCAGATACAAATTGATTTAGAAAAATGTTGGTACTACTTCATCTGTAATGTGTGATATTTTAGTTTTGACAGTGAACCTAAATATATCAGGAATAAAACTTATGTTTACCACATAAGCAAATCTATATATTTTACATATTTTAATAAAATTATTAGGCATATTTTATATGTGAAATTTTCACACAAAAAAATCTGCAAGATTATTTCTAAAATGGGCGCCATACGCTGATTCAGTTTTGCATATTTCCATTTTGACTTCTTTCACTTCTAGAGTCTGTCATAATTTTATCTGTAATGTCTATATGGTCATCAGTATAGTTCAGCCTTGCCAGGAAATGGATCATCATTTAACCATAATATGGTCCATTGCAGGGCTTTTCATCCCTTTCACCCATTGTACCACTTTTAGGATATGGCAACATCCGAGTACCACCAGTCGCCTAGCAAGGTGTCAAAAACTTGATGACCAAAAAAAAAAATAGGAAAAAAGTAATAAAGTACAGGTAGTCCTCGACTTACAACAGTTCGCTTAGTGGCTGTTTGAAGTTACAATGGCACTGAAAAAAGTGCCCCCCAAGCCACAACCGAGCAAGACACCTGCCTGCCCGCCCGGCGGTGCTCTTCCTCCTGTCTGAGGTTTTCATTGTTGTGAGCATTTCTGTTGAAGATTGGCAGCGGGGGTGGGGTGGGGGGGTGTTTGGTTTTTATTCCCCCTGTCTGCTGGGTGGTTACAGCAGGTTTTGGTCACTTTACATGACCCTGGGACACTGTGACCGTCATAAATATGAATCAGTTGCCAAGCATCTGAATGTAAATCACAAGACCCTGGAGATGCTGGAACATTCCAGCTGATTGGCGCTTCTTCTGGGCTCAGCAGAAGCACCAGGATCAGCGCTGAGCTCCAGCTGGAGCCTGGCCTGATCCTGGCGCTTCCACTGAGCCCTGACAGCCCTGCAGCTCCAGCTATCTCTCACTCAGGCTTGTGCGGTGCTGCCACCGATTCAGCTCATTCCCCTCCCCCACTACCACTTTTCTAGGATGGTCACGTACCACCTGCCAGGTGCCAATGTACCACAGGTGGTACCCATACCACTGGTTGAAAAGCCCTGGTCTATTGGGTTATCCTTTAGCAAACAGTTATTTAGTAACAGGCTGAAGTTCACACATTTTTGTTCTTTTTAGCAAAGGAGAAAATAAGAGTAAATATTTTGTTGGAGTTGTAGAATAAAATAGATTCTTTTCTACACTGGTTTTAACACAGAAATTGCCTTGATGCTTGTGGAGTATGACTTGTCTTTGAAAATAGCTGAAAGAATGTAACCTTATTGATTTTGCTAAATATTTTAGTTGTATTCTGTACCCTCAACGTTCTATATTGCTGAGGTATGGTGAGCGTATTGTTTAAGTTATTCCTTTCATTGTTGACAAACAAGTCTACTTGGGTGGGAAGTGGGGAAGGGACTATTTTCTCTTAATCAATAAAATGTTCCACAAAGTTCCATATATTTATCATCTGCATGAAATTCCTGGATGAAGATTTGGGCTCTGATATTAATAGTGTACAGATGATACCAGCTCTTTCTTTCACTTTATCTGATCAGCGACAGAACAGAAGTATATAACATAGACTGAAAATACATTTGTAAGTGAGTTATCTAAGTAAATGTTCAATTTATTTTGAGGAGTCATATTCATAAAATAACAGATTGGTTATTAAGGTTGCTCTTCGTTCAGGTATTCTTTATCTTTTCCATCTTCACCTGATTTCCCATTTGCTGCCATCCAAAAAAAAGCACACCTTGCACAGTTACTCAGTTTTAAATAGGTCCTTCCAGATTTGATGCATCTCACTTTATGTGAGATTTCTCTTGAAAAGAATCTGATATTTGATGCAAAAGTTTGGATGATCACATTATATCTATTTTAACTTACTACACTAAATCTGTTTCCAGGGCAATACAAATTGCTGCTATTTGGTTTTGAAAGCATCACATGGCTTGGGGCCTGAATATTTTAAGAATCAACCTCTTAAATAGCAACTTTCCCACTTGTTCTGGTCATCATTAAGAGCATTGCTTTAGGTCTTCTATCTATTTGAAGCAGCATTTGGTTTATAGTTAAAGATTTTAACACCAGTTTATATATGTGTGTGTGTATCAACTTGCTGTGATCTAAGTGTAATTCTTTCTTAAATGGTATGAAAAGTTGTTCTTTAAGGAAGCATTTAGTTAAATTTATTGTACTTTAGCTTGTATAATCAATTGCTGTTTCTATCAAATTAAATTTACTATTGCAATAATTGATTAAAGCTAACATTGATTTTTAAGAAAAGCATGAGATATGCATCTTTATTTTTACCAACATACAGTAAGTATTGTCTGGTGAATTCTGCTTACCTGGGCACAGAATTTGGCAGTGGCCAATATCCTGTCTGGAAAGTGGCCAGTGAGATCACATAACAGTTTTCAGGCTTGGCTTGAAGCTCAGACTCAGATAAGACTCTTTGTTGTTCCTTGACACTTTCACTTTTGCAGACTGCAGCTGGGAAAAGGAAAGAACAAAAACTCTTGGATTACTTCTCTGGGTTGGGGACCCTATTGGACTATGAAGACTATATACAAAAAAAAAGTGTTCCATACTCAGCCTTAAATGGTAAAAAATCATCTTCAACACCTGTCTCCAAAGCTCCCAGCTTGATATATCAACAAGAAAATGTTAATGAATCTCAGAAAGAAATTCTTTCCATGTTGAAATCAATCCAAGAGACAATTGTTTTAGTTCAAGATGAGATTAAAAATAATGCAAATGAGATAAAAGAACAATTTTCTAACCTAAACTTACAAATCTAGACAATGACTGCAAAGAAAGAACTAATAACCCAGAAAACAGAAAGAAAATTAGAAGAAACGGATCCAAAGATGGAGGACCTAAAGAAAGGAATTAATAGACAGATACAGACAAATGAAAAATTAGAAGATGCAGTGATAACACTGGAAATGGAAAAGACATCGTACTTGTCAAGATCTCCAGACACATTTGAAGATAAGGAAGAAGAGCTGATTGAATAGATGATAAAGCTATTAGGAGAAATGCTGAATATTGACAAACAAGAAATGAAAAACTGGAGAAGGATGGAGGCTGTTTAATGAATATAAATGGGTTGAGCATTCTTCCAAAAACACTTCAGCCAAATTCTTTTCTTCATGCCAAACAATATATACAAAAACAGAGGAAGAACTATTTGATTTAAATGTACTGACTTGGAAAGTTATTTGGCAAAGGAAGAAAGTTAGAATAAGATTGAAGAAAATAGAGGTTCTGACCTATTAGATGGGATATTATACAACATGCATGCAACTGTCATTTGGCAGATGTACACAAATATACAATAATTTCCTTTATTTGCTTTTTATTTATTTTTTTCTTATTTAATGATATCATAGATACATACTGTGTCTTCATATATGACAGAGGAGGGGATGAAAGGGAAGGGAAGGGAAAAGAGAAGGAGAGAGACTTTCCTCATGCAAAACCTGATTAATTCTGGTTCATAATTGCCAATCAACTATGAAGAATAGCTTTGGGCAAAACTATCACTTCTTGGCTTAAATAATTTTCCTAGATTGTTGATGACTACTCCACAAAGATCTACTATCTACTCATTGGAGAAAGATAATATGGAGAAATATGAAATTGAAACTAATAATTGATCAATCAGAACTAGTTCAGCGGGGAGTAAAATCCATTCAAATCCTTTTTAACAAAAAGCATACTACTAATTTCTTTTAATAGTTGATCTTTTATAAAGAGAGAGAAATTATTCATTGATCCCTTAAAATGCAATCTTACTCTTTTTTAAACATTTAAATATAATTTGGTTTATTACATTACTTTCAGTCTGTCTGACTATTTGAATGGTTATAATGATCAAGCATTAATAAAATTTATTTTTGTTATTTAATCTGTATATGCATCAGAGTAACTGTACATGATATAAACATTGATAAATAAAAAATAAAAAATCAAGTTATTGATTGATTGGGGCCTGTTTGTTTTATCTCATAAGAAATATCAAACATGCAACTTGTATAGAAAAATATGAATGTTTCTGTGAAAATATATGATGAATAAAACAATAGTATTAAAGAGTAGCACCGGAGTCGATGATCTTAGAGCTGGTTACAACTGAAGCAACCAATCTGCCAAATAAATAAATGAAACAAACATGGACTGGCTTTTCCTAGCTATGCCTTTTTCATAAATTCTCATTACTGTAGTGTCTTTTGTATATCTTAGCAACCACAACAAATTGACCTCCTGTAAGCTTATTATAGCATCAAGCTACTTAAAAGAAACATGGGGCATAAATTCAGTAAATAAATAATGTTATTTCCCAAACAGATTGCTGTAAATGATCTAATTGGTGCTGCCCTTAATAATTACCAGAAATTTCAGTGCAGAATTCTGCTGTTATTTTGACTGGGGTATATTGGATATGATTTCATTATTGTAAATAATTTACTGGCTACCACTTTGGCTGTATGCATAGTTTAATGTACCGGTACTAGCTTAAAACTTTGAATTGATTTAGCAGTAATTTCCTATCATTTGAACTTTACTGCTATTTAAGAACAACTGTTTCTTGTGGCAGCATCCTACATATAAAACTTTTTGCATTACATTAGCCAACATTTTCAAATTTAGGATAATAATACAACATTTTTTTTATGAAGCTACAGATTGCCTTGCTCCAACTGTTGAAGATGCAGAGATTCAGATCAAGACATACACAACTGGAGATAAATTAATAATCAGCTGTCATGAAGGATTCCAGATCCATTTCTCTGATTTAGACAACTTGGTGTCAGTATGTCAAGATGATGGAACATGGGATAATCTGCCCATTTGCCAAGGTTTAGTACACCAGAGCATCTTATTTTATAGATCTTACACCTTGAGTAATGACAGATTGGGAGTGGCCAAGGTTTACATCTTAAGGACATTACAATTAACTATAGTTCAGCATTACCTTTATTAGAGATATTTTGCAATTAAAATGGCCAAAATGTATTTTTAATATGATTAGTCTATTGTTTGCTTCATCTGAGAGATAAAATTAAATTTTGTATTTTTCATTTCTTTTTAAACTTGCCGATGTAAATAATTAGAATGTCAAGCTAATTGAATTCTTTCCTTCAATTAAAGAATTAATTCATTATTTAATTCAAAATTAATTAAAATCAGCATGAAGAGGGATTTTACCTTATCTATTTTCTTTGGTTCTGGTGTCAAATAGAAACTTTCTGACATTAAGAGCAGGTTACAAATTGTTCTGGCATCTGTAATCCTAAATAAAACTTCATTGAAGGTGCTACCCTAGAGAGAATGAGCACTAAAAGAAATATATAGCATGGAGTCCTCATGCCTTTGATCCAGTTCATTCATTTGCAGAAATAAGGAAATCCTGAATAAGATATAGCTGTATATTATATGAAAGAAAGTCCATCAACAACATAGATGTACAAACTATTTGGGGGGGGGGAATAAGCTCTTTTTCATTGAATTCCATCTTTCTTACTTTTGTCACTTTTAACCAATAAAAATCAATAATAATAACATCTTTTTTTTTTAATTCTGTTTAAGTGGCACCCATCTCCATATCAGCAAAGGACAGCTCACAACATAAATAACACAACACAAATGCAATAAAATAAATAAAAATACAATGAGGGAAATAAACATTAACCTCAAATACAATGAGAGAAATAAATATTAACTTCAAAAGTAATGTTAATAAAGTATAGCAAAATAGTGAAATATACAGAAACTGTGAACCTTTCTTATAAAACAAATGGTAAAATGTTTTTATTCTAGGGTTAAATATTTCACATAATAATTCTTTATCCTATGAGTTGCTATTAATGGAGTGGTAGGATGAAGATCAGGAAACAATGGGCTTTAGGTCTTAAATTCTTCAGGTGAGAAATAATAAGGAAGTTGTTAATTTTCTTTTCTCATGAATCATGGATATATATGTTATATTTACATTAGGTGTATATTTCAGACTCAATTGCATAAGGATAAATTTATTGTCTCTACCCACAGAATGAATATCTTGTTACAAAATTATAATGTCCCTATAACTTTTCTCCACAATTTTAAGTATCTCAGTACTTAAATATCCCAAGTACCTTACCTTACCTGAGAGAGAGAGAAATAATCAGTTTTTGTGTCTTTTGTAATTTCTGTATAATTTTTTAAATTGTGATACTTTATTAGTAATCTTTTTTACAATGATGTAACAGCAACAGTCACATCATACATTATATAAAAATATAATAGCCATTTAACATAACAGAATAACAGAGTTAGAAGGGATCTTGGAGGTCTCCTAGTCCAACCCCCTGCTCAAGGAGGAAACCCTATAGCATTTCAGACAAATGGTTGTCCAATCTCTTCTTTAAAACAGTCATGGAGGACCCACAACTTTTGAAAGCAAGCCATTCCACTGATTAATTGTTCTAACTATAAGGAAATTTCTCCTTAAGTCTACGTTGCATCCCTCCTTGATTATTCTCCATCTATTTTAGAACAGAAACTATTTATTTATTATTGTGGTTTTTAGTATTGCCTGTTCACCGCCCTGAGTCCCGTAAGGGAGATAGGGCAGTATATAAATTTAATAAATAAAATAAAAATAAATAAATATTATTTCTTGTTCAGCCTTCAAGTGTGTTTAATTTTCAGACTCTTTTCTGTTATTATTTATTATCTATTACATTTATTTGCCACCCATATCACAACAAGGTGATTCTGGGTAGCTTACAAGGTTAAAAGCAATAAAATTATACAAATATATATCTAGTAACAATAAAAAGAGGTAAAAAGAGGAGAAGGGAAGGAAGAGGGTGTGCAGGGAATGGGGTGGGATCTGCTCTTAGTCCATAAACCACCTTCAGTGTGACACTCCTTCATTGGGCCCAAAGCCAACTGGCACAGCAAGGTCTTCAGGAAGGTCAAGAAGATGTGGGAGATCTCACTCCAGCAGATAAGATGTTCCAAAGGGCAAAAGCCACGGCAGAGAAGGTTCTTCTCCTGGACCCTGCCAGCCTGAATTCCTTAACTTAAGGGATTGCACTTACCCATGGTTACATGATCAAAATTTGGCCACTTGGCAACTGCCAAGTATTTATTTTGCTCACTGCTGTACAAATCTCATTTCTGCTCTAGATGATTTTTGTTTATATTTTTAATAAAATATCCAAACATAATTTAAGTAAACTGGTTTTTAAGTGACTGGAAAGATTGTACTTACGTAAGTCTAAATATATGTAAAGTAACCTAGGATTTGGATTATCAGAACATACAAGAACAAAAGCCCATCTGTTCATTAGTAGTGATATGTGGTTATCATAAATGACTGCTTCTTTTCTGTGGTATTTCCTGAAATAGTCTTGTATTCTCCTAGAAACACCCATTATGCAATTTTGTAAGTAATGAGTAACTGGAAAGCTTCCGTATTGGCTATCAGAACCATTGCAACTGGTTAAAATAGATTAAAAATCCATTTATTTATGTTTACATTTTAACAATACTAATAACAGTAAATAAAGTATTACCATAACAGTTTTAAAGGAAAGGAACAATTGTTTCAAATAGTTCTATTTATTATTTTAATTTAATTCTAAGACCACCAAACTCAGTGATGATTGGGAGACCTCAGAAATCCAAATGAAAAACAAAATAAAGTCAAGAACAAAGAATGTAGAAAATCCTATATTAAAATAATCCTATACTGAATTTAGTACTTTTGCTACAAGGTATATGCAGAGCAGTTAGAAGTTGTGATCTAGCATATATCGTGGGAGTGAAGGAATTCAAGAAAGAGTCAGCTGAAGTATTAATTTGCTGTTCTGATGAACGCATATATATATTCAATTAATTGCTAAGTAGGTATTTTTTAAAATACATATCTCATAATAAGAACACCTCCTTCTTCTTAATTTGCAGGTTGCCTGAGACCACTTCTGCTTCCTCATAGTTTCACTAATATATCTCAGTTCGAGTCTTCCTTCCCCGTAGGATCAATGATATATTTTCAGTGTTTTCCTGGATATAAACTAGAAGGTGCAGAGTTCCTTGAGTGCATGTATAATCTTATCTGGTCAGATAGTCCACCTAGGTGCCTTGATGTGGAAGGTAAAGCATCTTCTGTGTTCAGACAAATACTGGTAAAGTCTTAGTACAATTGTAGTTGGTCTAGTAACTCTTTACTTGATCTTAATCTTTTTTCAGTACATAATGTTATTTTACAGATAAATTATATACAGTACATGTATGCTTAGAATTAAGTACTGCATCAGTTCAATAAATATAAAATTTCAGGCATACTTATTGTATATATGTATGTATATATTTATTAAAAATAATTCCAGGTTTAATATTGTGTAAAACTATTTGCTTACAATATGCATTAATTATATGCATATTGTATGAATTAATTGATGAAAGGAAAATAGAGATGTTGTATGTCTGTGAAACTAAAAGAAAGCAGAAGCACATGTTATATCTGAATGAAAGTGGTCTGATTTTGTGGAGCAGAACTGATAAATAAGTGCAGGAAAATTAAGGTTTAGGTTTGATTAAGTATGAAAGAATAAAATAATTGTCAGAAAGTATGAATTGGTGTAATCCCAATTATTGTGGGGTACATATCAAAGTAAAAAAAATCATAGATTGATTATAGTAACCAACCTGTGAATATAGAAGACTCACAGGGACATTTATGAGTGTCATTTGGGGAAAATATTGTTCTGATAGATGATATGAATGGATGGGCGGGACCAAAACAAGAGAGTAGGGGGAAATGATGATTGGGGCACTTAGAGATCCAAGAACAAATGAGAATGGTGATTCTTTGGTAAGTATTTGATTAGAAAAAGCATGTTAGTCTCAAATATGAGTCTATTCATATGTATTCACGGGGAATAAGAATATAAATGTAAAAGCACAGTTTATTGAATTATTTATTATAAAAGCATGGGAGAATTAGTAAAGGATACAAGGTTGATGAATTCTTCTGAATATGGGTAGACCATTATATGCTAGTGTCAGGAATGGATATTGGGGAAAAATAGATGAAAAAGGCAAATAAATAATGTAGAGAGAAACTAGGGAGAAACAGTATGTATTAGAAAAAAGTATTAGAAAATAGGTTAATGGAAAAGGAACATGAGGAAAGATGTTGTGGAAACTTCTTGGAACAGAGTTTAAAAAATTATATTACAGAATTCCATAGCAATAGGTGGACAAAAATGTCTGTTCCTAATCACAACGGTACCAAAATTATAAAACATGCATTATGACTCCACAACTTCAGTTCTATCCTTTCATTCTTGTGTTATAACGTCACAAGAAAAATAGGAATTTGTGTTACAACACATGTTTCATCATTTACCCTCTTATAGGTCGCTAGGCAGCCTTGCATAAGTCAATAAACAGCCATGAGAGATGGGGTAGTAATAATATTTGTGTAATGATGTAATCATGTGAATTCTGTGACATATGTTCTTGGGACAGATGTCCAGATGCAATTTTATAATAGCATTTGTATGAGTATGTCATTGAATGTGTATCATTTTGGCATCATCTTGATTTGCCAAAAACATTATTATTCTTTCCCTTTCCTCCAAAATAACTCTTGGTATAAATAAAAAAATAATAGAACCTTCTTTCCATTCTGGTCTTTAAGTTGTGCAATAGCCCCTTTTTAGAGGATCATCCAGATAATTCACTTCTGGCCTTGAAAAAACTTTAAATTTTAATCAGGCTTCTAAATGAAATGTACATATACATCTATCCATCATGCTATTCATTTTCAGGGTAAGCAGTGTTATGAAAAGGGGCAGAAAGGAATAGTATTTGAAGTATTTGAAGGCACAAGATAAGAAAAGGTAATATAACTAACTAGTTTATACCAACACTGCTCATTATGCCTTTCGTATCTTCTGTCACCTGCAAATCATCCTTGCTTTATATATTACTTCCATATGCTGCCTTTTGTTCTTTAAATTTCTCATCTCTGTCTCATCTTTGTCTCCATTCATCCACAGCTTTCTCATTCTTCCCCCTCCTCTTATTTATTTAATGATATCCTCATAAGTAAAATGGTACACATGGACTAGAGGATGCAACTTTTAAATGGATTCATAATTGAATGACTACACTCAGAGAGTATGCATAAATGGCTCAGCATCAGCTTCAAGAGTAGTACTGTGGTGTGCTACGTGCTAGTCAACATTTTTAATAACATGTATTATAAAAAGACTGACCTGTCTAATCAATTGTGGTCAAGCCCCATTGGACATACTATCTCTAGTTCTAGGCACAGCAGCCTAAAAAGGACATTGACAAGCTGGAGCAAGTTCAAAGAAAGAGTAGTAAGATGAACTGAGAATTAAAAATCTTGTCCTGTGAGGAATGGTTCAATAAATCTGATATGTTTACCTGCAGAAGCAAATGTTGAACGGAAATATAATAGCGGTCTTCAGATATCTACAGGATTATCACATAGAAGAGGGAGCAGGTGTTTTGCTCAGAAGGCAGGACCAGAAAAAATGGGTTGAAAATGCAGGGAAGTTTATTCAGTTTAGATGTTAGAAAGCATTTCCTGATTGTAAGAGCTATCAACCAGTGGGACAGGATGCTCGGTGAAGCCATATGTTGCATTTTACTGTAGATCTTTAAATAGAGATGAGATAACCATCTGTGCAAAATGCTTTAGCAGATTCTGCACTAAGAAGGTTACCCTATTTAACCTCTCCATTCCCTTCCATTTTTTATAATTTTTGGACTATATATATATATATCAGTGTAAGCTAGCAGACATCAGGCTCCATTTGAAGTTGACTTTACTAATTGATTTATTTGATTTGATTTGTAAAGCCACCCATCTAAAACCAGTGACTTTGGGTGACTTTATGGCAAACAATCATAAAAAACAATTAAAATAGTTAAAACACAGTACAAAAACACTTAAACACAAATAGCAACCAAGAGATACCATAATCTGTCAGCTTCAACATAGCCAGAAAACAGTGTCCTTCCCACACTCGTCACCCTAGGCCTGGACACGTAGCTTCAGGGCTTTCTGAAAGACCATCGGGGTGGGGCATCCTAAACCCATGGGGGAAGATATTCTAGAAGGCAGGTGCTATGATAGAAAGGCCACATCTCCTGGTCTCTACAGCCATCATTACTTGGCTTATGGGACCTGGAGCATGGCCATCCTGGCTGACATGGAGGCTTTGAAATTTGAGTCTATGACAATAGTGAACTAGTCCTGCCTTCCTAAATGAGAAATGCCAGGATGTTTTTATTTAAGAAGAGCTTTGACTTAAGACTGATAGCAGAAAAAACCATCTGTTACTCCGAATCTCTGTGCCTTGCCTTGCTTGCCAACCTTGCCTTACCAACTGATCGACAACCCTTTCTGTACATTGGATTCTGGCATTGTTTGGCCACTCTTGTGCCTGGCTCCCTGCACTTGGAACTCTTTATTAATGCAAATTACTAGACTGGTGGAAACTTGGTTATTTCAAGTGGGTTGGCACATGGCTTTTTGTTGCTAGTTATAAGTAAGTTTGCAATTGCCTTTTGGGTGCGTGTGTCTGTGCTTGGCTTGAGACAGGACATTGCCAGATTGTATTGGATGGGAAAAACAACTGGAAATATATGATCTCTTAGGTAAGCCGGTCCCAAACCATGAAGGGCTTTAAGGTAACAAGCCGTATATTGAATTGCACTGAGAAACATACTGCCAAACAATTCAGCCCCGAAAGCAGCAGTGTTATATGTGCCAAATAACTAGCACCATTTATAACCCATGTAGCTGCATTCTGTATCAGCTGAAGCTTCCAAATGCTTCCAAAGGAATTTTGGCTGGTGGGATCCAAAAAAAGACCATTTTCTGCCATGACTCCCATCCTCTGGAATATTGTGAACCCCAAGGGGCAATCCACACCTACCCTTTTGGTCTTCTGAAAGGTTTTGAAGACATGGCTCTGCCAACTGGCCTGGGCCCCCTATGAGGGTATGACATTCTGGATTAGATAACACCCAACCTCTTCCACTTGCGCACTTCGCTTTGTTCCTTGATCAATTTATTTTTAATTGAATTTAAAATTTAAAATCTCTATTATTTTAATGTTTTATATGGCATTGTATTGGATGATTTTAAACCACCTAGAGTTGCCTTTGGTGAGATGGGCAGCATATAAGAGAGAGAGAGAGATTATGTTGCAAAATATTTTTTACTGTTCTATTAAATATGATGTTTACAGTATTTACTGATTCCGCGTTCTTTATTTCAAAATGTTGGCTCTTTCTTCCCCTGCACTTTTAATAAAAAGTATAGAAAAGAAGCTGGTATTTTGCTATAAACTCTTGCAGACATATATCTCTATTTAAAGGAAGAAATAACAATTTGGACTCTTATTGATTAAGGAACTGCAAGTGAGATCTGAAAAAAACACATTGCCCAATAAAATGTTTCTATTGAGAACTACATTCTTCCTTCTGCATTGTTAAGGATATAAAATTCCCTTTTCCTTTAGATTTTTTTCTTAAGCATTTTCTGTACATTTATCTTTGAGAAATGAAATAGATTGGCACCATAAGCTGGCAAATGAGAATGAAAAGTCAAATTGTTGCAGAAAATGCTGTTTGTCCTTTGTATAATTTAGTATACAATAATTGTACTAAAAGCTATCCTGTAATTTCTAAAGTGTTTCCAAATAGAAATTTTACAGTGCTTTGTAATAACATCTGAATCTGAGGAGATTATAACATATTTTCTTTGAAGATTTTATCTTCATTTTAAAGGAACATAAATTCAAAGTCTTCTGTATTGTTCTGACATTCATAAAATAGATTGCAAACTCATCTTACAAAATTGTTGGGGGGAGGGTATCATTCCCATCTGCTTAGTTTAAATTACAGGAAGAGAATATTCATGTAATATCTTCTAGACTAGAGGCTTCACTAGGAAAACAAAATTTTAAAATTG